TTTATTTTGGATAAAACATAGTTATTTAGTAAATTTTGATAAAAGTTTGTGAATTATGTAGTTAAAAATTTGATAAAATTGTGAATTTCATAAAATATATAATTGAAAAATAAATTTGAAGAAAAAATAAGTTTTACAAAAGAGGAAATTACACGCATGCTCCTTTTTCAATTTTTCATTTCAATAATCAGATGATATAATTATTTTTTCAAAAATCTGGTGTATCCAACCCCACCCCACCCCAACCCAACCCACCCTAACTCTAATTCATTTTCCACCCCCTCGCCACAATGCGGCTTCTATAACACAAACCCAAAATTTCAACATACCCATATGGTGTACGCTGGTGGACACAGCCACGACCACCTTCTCTGGCACCCATGTTGCCACCTTCCTCTTTGGCATCGCTGCATTCATCTTCGTCGTCGGCCACACACAGATTTATCCATTTAACCCTTCACTCTCACCCAGAATTAAATATCTCATATGCTAAATTTGCGGGTTAATTACCTCGTCGGTCACTGAACTTTGAGTAAAGTTTTCAAGGGATTATTGAACTTTAAAAGTTGCTCATTAGTCATTGAACTTTATATAAGTTCCCCTATTAATCACGAGTGTTGGATCGATTATATTTTGAAATGTTCAAAGACTAACGGAAATTTTTTTGAAGTTTCGGTGATATATGTTATTACATTTAGGATGTGTTTGAACTACATTATTTTGGAATAGTAGATTGATGGAGAATGTGTGGTTGAAAAATAAGGAAAAATTATTGATGTAGTGTAAGATATTATTTTATTAAAAAATGTGTAATTGAAAATGAGTAAAAAATGAGAATGAGAATTTTAACGTGGCTCAAATAGAGACTTATAAAGTTCAATGACTAGCGAAAAAAATTTTGAGCTCAAGAACCTCTTGGAAACTTTACACAAAGTTCAATGACCAATCGGGTGATTTATCAATCTTTGTGTTTTTTTTAAATCTTTTCCTTTCTTTTTCTT